GCCGCCCCCGCGCCGCCCCCGGCCACATAGCATGTCCCGCTGGGCCCTCCATTACAGCCCGCGACTGCCGCCTCCGGGGTGAGCAGGCGGGAGGGTGCGTCTCCGTCGCACATATGCATACGCATTAGCCTGAACGTGTCTCCTCCCTCTGCCACTCTTCCTCTCTCGCACTGCCACGGACGCACCCCTCCTCTGTCTGTTTGCTGCACGTAGCTGCACGTCCTAGTCGCTCCTTCTCTCTCTCTCTCCCTGACAGACACGCCGTTCGACGTTGCCGCAGGGTCGGAGCGCGGCTCCGGGCGCGCCGTCAGCCTGCAGCGCGGCGAGCGCTCGCTGTCCAGGGCCTTCCCATCGCTGGACCTGGAGCTGGACACGGTCGTGGAGGAGCGCTCATCGGACCCGGACCCGGAGGTGCTGCAGGACCTGTGCTCCGCCACGTCCATCGACATCGACAGCTAGCACGAGGCCCCCCCGGGAGCCCCGGGGGACAAGGACCCCAGCAGCCCCAACGGCGCGCCGCCCGGCCTCGGCGCGCGCGGCCTCGCGAACGGCTTCGGCCACCACCACACGGGCGCGGCCGTGGTGGTCCACAACCACGTGAGCACGGCGACCACCCCGGTGGACGTGGCCGTCGAGGACGCCGCCGTCGTCGGGCGCACGTCGCCGTCCCCGCCGCCACCGATGCCGAACGCGGCGGCCTCGCCGCCGACGGCGCCCACCAGCTTCCCGGGGCCCTTCGGCCCGCTCGGCAGCCGCGGCGTGCCCGGCAGCCCCGAGCCCAAGCCGCTGCCCCCGTGCCCGGCGGACATGTCCCCGCCCAGCCAGCCGCGCCCGAGGACGCGCTCCGTGGGGCTGCAGGTCAGTGGCTAAAACATTAGCTAATGCGGTATAACTTGTTACGTAGCTAATTACTTATCTATGTGGCTACAAATTAGCTTTTTCGCTAACCATTTAGCTATGTACCTATAATTAGATGTGTAGCTAGCTAACCATTTTGCCTTGCTGCAAAATATTTTGGTACACATCTAATTTTCAGCAAGATCACTAAATACCGCATGATATTTGTACTCCGGGGTATAAATATCATGGGCTCCATCTTGGAACCCCATAATATTCCTCCCCTCCCCCTGGCTGCAGGTCCGGCTCGGCGCCCGTACGCTGCAGGAGCGCGCGCCCCTGTGGACCACGCTGACCACCGGCCAGGCACCGCTGCCCCGCTCCGTCAGCTGACGCCTGCATCGCGCGGATTCCAGCTCCCAGACGCCGGACTAAACAAACTAGACCCATCGAGAAATCGACATCGAAGCAATATCCAATCGAAATCTGCTCCACCAAAACTATATTAGACGTCTGAAGGTGTCGATTTTAGAGGGCCATCTCAGGATTGACTGAACATGAAAATGGCCAATTTTCCGATACGTCTATATCGGTTTGATATCGCGTCGATATCGCCATTTCTCACCAGGGAGAGTCCGTCGTTGGGGTGCGTGGGGTTCGCGCCCGACGGTGCGGTGGCGGGCGCTTTTGTTTGGCCGCCCGTCCGCCCGCCGACGCTCAACTGGCGTCGATACGATACGTCAGTTTCGATGCTGTTCAGACAATTCTCTCTGCAGCAGGGCGTGGTCACACGCGTGATATGCTGACAGACAAGCCGCTGTTACTGACCAGAAGAGATCTCTGCTCGTCACTGAGGCTTGAAGGACCAATAAGTCAAGTTACACACGCTGTCCCGATTTTCCAAGTGATACTCTGTGCTGAAATAGAAAAAAAATAGCTGCGACTACTTGCTATAATTGTGTTTTTTGTGAATATTTTTAAAATATATAGCGGTAATAGAGATACAAAATGTTATAATGCACTCCAAGTATTTTTATAGAGAAGGGTGAAGCTGTTGGTGCACTAGTTATCAATGAAATGTCTGTACTTCTGTCCCACATAATAAAATTTAGCAATCAGTCATGAATAAAGTAAATCCCTAATCTGATTCCATATCTGATTCTCTGAAAATTTTCATTGGGTTAACCCAATCTTCACTTCGCAACTTCTCCCAACCAAGTTCCCCCGAGAAAACCATTAACCTCCACTGCGGGTGGTGGTTGGCGCGGACAGTCGCGACGGCCTCGGCGCAGAGCGGGCAGTCCGCCTCGGCCGCGCAGGGGTGCCCGTACCGGACCACTAAATGTAATTCGGCCCCAGGGGCCGGGTCATCGCACTCCATGGAAATGAACCAACTAGCATTCTCGTCATTACGGTCGATGTCTTTGGACACGCATGTCACGTGCAGCGACAGGGGTGCGCGGCGGATCAGATCCTGCAGCTCCTGGAAACACTGCTGACACTCTGCTGTGGGCACAAAGACGGGGGAGGTGTGAATGAGCTCTGCGCAAACGCGCGACGTAAACGTCGAGCATGAAGTACTCACCCAAGGACCACGTGGTGGGCTTCGCCCAGTTTTCGAGGGTGAGAAGCTCGAGGGCGGGGATGGCGGCAGCGGGGACGTCCCGGAACACCTCGGGCGGAGGGTTGCGCGTCGCAACGTCCAGGACGAGTGAACGCAGGTGGGGCATGACCGTCAGTGCCAGAAGCACCTGGGAGGGCATGGCTGAAGACTTGGGGTAGAAATGATCTGACACAGTCAGGTGCGTCAGCGTCGGCCCAAGCTCCCGGATGAGGATGAGGCCGTATCCCAGGTCCTCAGTGCGGGCCGTTGCATTCCACGACAACCCCCCGCGGGCCAAGCTCTCGGGTGACTCTGCGGCGGAACTGTCGTCGACTTCGCACGGTGGGGCCTCCCGCCCTCGCCCTGGCTGATCGTCTTGGTCGTACTTCACATCACTGACCATCAAGGGTAGCTTACGGTCGTCGTGAAACACACCTAGAGCCAAACGCAACGTGTGGGCGGGGGGCGCCACCCGCGACAGGCCCTTCACCACGTCGAAGCCCTGCTCCCTCTCGGGCCACGAGCGCGTCCACAGCGCCGCGTTGTCCCTGGTCAGCGCGCCCAGCCGCGCGCACGTCAGCCCGGCGGCGAGCAGGTCCTGGCGGGGCAGGTAGGAGAGGATCTCGAGCAGCGGCACGTCGGGCAGGTCCGGGAGCAGCAGCGGCTGCGGGCAGAGCGGGGGCGGTACACAGTGAGCGACACCAGAGGAGTACATTAGAAAAGCGGAGCAAACACCCTCGCCCTGTGAGAAATTACCGACAAAACAGATTCGACGCAACTTTGATCATTTTGACATGTCATCTCTCACTGGATAATCGACCCTGGCAGTGTGCGGCTCGACGCTCGACTGTACCAGGTGGCTGATCCGCGCCGCGCACTTTCGTAGTTATACTGTACCGCATGCACAGATACGGGCGGGCGGGTGTGCCAACCCTTACGGACCCCCCCCGAACGAGTAGGCAACCCACTCGCACGCCGCGCATGCGGTACAGTATGTATTGAACTAAGACAGTGCGCGGCGTGAGCTAGTCACACCTGGTGTGGGGCATTGCGTCTCTCTTGTCTTTGTTAGAGTGGTATACAAAACTTACCTGCTCGTGTTGATCGGTGTCGGTTGAGTCAGACGTCTCGGGCATGGCGAGGGTCGTATGGGTGGCGGCGAGGTCCACACAGCCTGGTCCCGGCTGCGGGGGGGGG